CATTCTTTACCTACTCTTTTTGTAGTATAGTTTCCAATTTGATCAAATTTCCATTCTCTGCTGACACCTCGGCTGACACTATCTTGAACAGAAAGTCAAATGATTCTGAACGAGATTTGTAGGTGGAAGTCCGACAAAAAATTTCAAAGCTGCAAATCATAATAAAATACTGTGTCTGTCATTTTCCTTTCTGGTTTGAACTTTTTGCCGTATTTTTCTCCGAATTGTGCTTTCCTTGGGATGATTCACTTCTTAACATAGATTTCAGTTTAGGTAGGACGAGGTAGGATATTGATCAAATCTTTCGCGTGAAAAATCAAATTAGGTATCCAGATAATGGCTGATGACAAAAGATGCCCAGTTGTATTTTCATATACCCGCCCTGAATATTTTGCCGCCTGGTGCTATAGCACCCAGAAGACCCCTGGTAAAACCGGCACTGTGTATATTCACATAAGTATATAGCCGTATGTTCAAGCCAAAGCAATAGATCACATGATAAATCCGACAACATCGAAAGAAAAATCCGAAAAATCCATCCCATACAATAGTGATCGTTAACTCGAGGCTGATCATTTTACTATCTTGCCGGTCATTTCCGGTTCTCTCCGGAAATAGACTCGGTGTCGACGCGAATAAAATCCTCGGTTGACCAAATCAAGTCTATTCGATTTTGCCGGGATGTTAGTTTACTAGAATAAAGCGTGTCCGGGAATCTGAACCTTTTTTTATTTTTATCGCTCGGCTGACTTATTCGATTTTGTGTGGCGAGTGAAAATAATCGAGAATCGGAAGGGAAGGATTTTAATTTCGTAAAAATGTTGACTGGGGAATATGGCAGATAATTATATTGAGAATGAATAGACTTAACTCGATAAGGTGTTATAAAATCGTATAACATTCGTTAATAGGAAGGATTTTTCCTCGGATTTTTCTGATTCGACTTTCAGTACTTATTTCTGATGGTACAAAATATGAAGAAGTCAATCTGACTTATAGAAGGTGGAACGACAGTTCCATTTATAATGACTATTGTTGTGGTATGAGAATTTGATAATTTATTATAATAGCGTGTTGAATCCGTATAGTAAATTTAACAATCTTAAGTTGGAATTCCTAGCGACGTCCAGCGTTCGCGGCTCACCGCGACGTCCAGCAGTAACGACTGGCAGCGCTGATTTCATGATTTGCTTGAAGCGTCTAGCATCCGCGTTTTGGTAGTTGTGAGACCATGTGAGACATATACCTGCCATGGCAAGAGTGTTTTTCGTTCAGAGTTGACTGCGTTTTAATTAAAAATCGCCGGTAGTCAGGATGAATAGAAATATTTCATTAGCGTTAATGTCATTAGAAGAAGAGGATGATGATGACATGATGTTTTTATTATCGTTGCGCGGAGAGACAAGTGAACTGTTTGGATCTCGAAACAACTATCCAAAATCTTGAAACACTTACCACTCTTGGAAAAAACTGTGGTAATTTTCCCGAATTTGGTGATCTTCAAAATCTTTGTTTGCCTGGTCCTAGATACATGCAAATTCACGAACTTGATCGATTAATAATTCATCGTCGTCAGGGGTAAATTTTTGAGACATTTTCTAATAATAATATTCAACCACTCTGCTTTGAATTCAGAAACGTATGTAGTCTACGTTCGCGTCCAGACATGTTTTTGAGCAGTCGAGACGCAGCCGCTGACGGCTGGACGTTGGGACGCCGAGTCGCGCCGCTTCTAGGAAAACGGTTGCATTATTGCAAATGCATTAAACGTGTCTTTAACTGCCAGACGTAGCGGCGGGCCGCGAACGCTGGACGTCGCTAGGAAATCCCACCTTCAGGTATAAGCTCGGGTATAGGAGTCCACGTTCCTCTCAAAGTGGAGTAATTCCCAACAATGTCGTCTCCACAACATCATTTGAGTTAACAGTAGTCACTGAGGAGACATGTTTCAGACACAACGATCCATTATGAGCCTCACAAAAAAAGTTCTATAAAATGAAAATCCACAGTTAACAAACTCGACACATTCGTGGTAGAAAGAGAGTTATTGTTCTCACGTGGAGAGGAGTAAAAAAACACATCGATGACAAACTATCAAAGTTCAGAAATTGATGGTACTTAGACCAATCAGGGTATCCTTAAGGGTAGATATAACCAACCACCTTCCAAGGACAAACCGTAGAAGAAAGAAAATTAAACTATGGTGACATAGAAAAAGGAAACAGAAAGAGTGCATCAAATTGGTAGCAAGTATTTTTCGTTCGTATACGTAAAATAGTACGAAATGTCGCTACTTTTTGATAGGAGCAGCAACACTGCATTCCTGAAAATATGTTAAATGTAGAGCCCGTATTCTACAACTCGTTCTAAAATATAAGCATGCATATATTCATGGATTATCTCCTACTGATTCTTGATATAGAGATAGTGTAAGCTCGTCGTGACATAGCCTGTATAAATTTATGTCATGTCTCCACATCTAAACCCCGAAAAATAAGGAGGCCACTGGACTCTGTGTGAAATTATCTGTTAGACCTAGTTCTCAGCGCAGCATTATAGAAGGGGTCTAAAAAGTATATATCAAAATCAAATCAAAATGATGGGTTGCACTGTACATACCCACAAATCGAAGCAAACCTACAGTAGTCCACTCGGTAGACCATTTGTTTTTCAGTCTATTTGTTTTATTCTCGCAGATCTCTAGGCATAGTAATATATTATCACGTATCTAACCGAGTATCTAACGGTATTGTCGACCGCAATCGAACAAATAATCATCGTTTTCAACAATATCGACCAAGCTGTATCTACATAATACTGTGATATTGTATCAGCACTTCTATAGGTGTCACGTTCGTGAAATGCAGAAACATAAATTATAACCTACTATTTTTCCTCGTATTTTTCTTTCGATCCTTCTGCATTCTTCAAATTAAGTCATCTGTTATCCATGTCTTTATGGTTAACGACTTGCAGAGTTCGAGGCAGAGTTGCATGACCAAATTTTCGGCATGAGATTATTCTCAATATGCATGGAACTGAGCATGAAATATATCAACACCAGTTGTCAAAGATATATTGAAAATATTTCTCGAATGAAAGGAGTAGGTATACTCCTCGTAATAATCAGATCTGGTCGAAGATTCTAATATCCGTTTTAAATGCATGACATGCAGAAAAAATGATTACGAACATGATGAACTTTCAAATATTGTGATGATTTATAAAGAATTGTTATTATTTGTTAGTGATATCGATAGATATTGTTAGGAATTGTGAGACAGTTTCTGAAAATTTTGAAAATTTTGTGAGAACTGTTGATAAGATTTTTATATATTCGAAATTACGAGCAGTACCGAGACCATTACTCTCAATACCAAATAAGTACCAATCTCGGTACCAATATCATAGTTGCTAATGACCATCAGGTGTTTTCATTATAAATATCGGCATATCACAACCAATTCACCAATTACCAATGAATAGTAAAGAAGAATATATTTATTGACTGTTCAGCTAGTCAAGAACCATCGAAAACAATCCATTGGTATACTTAAACATTTCCGAATTCATTTGATTTTGATTGACGAGCTCCTTGGTTGAAATTTCCTCTGTTTTCTTTGGATTTCGATGAATCCAAGAAATATTTCCAGTTGTTCATATCACGAAAAAAATCTTCTATACAGAGGAGATTATAATAGTAACCTTGAATCGAGCATTGAGAATATTTGTCGTAAGTACAAGTGTATTGACGTTGATGATTATCGAATTTTTTTTTTTTTCGATTTTGAAAAACAAATATGTTGCTTGGAAACCACAGCAACATGATTTGTTTCGAAAAAATGACGTGATAATTAATAAACTAATTATTCCATGGATGAAACAAACATTTCGTCTCGTATTTTTATATGCAGTCATTGCGTTAGGCACTCGGCTATTTATCTATCAAGGAATTAAGGGCGTGACCACCAACAGCAACTGACTTCACTTTCAACTGTCAAATGATCCAGGATCCAGGGGTCGCCAGGTTTGCAATTATGTTACCAATTCATCAGCTTGATATCTCGGTTGATATTAGGTATTTGAAATGCCGATCATACAGAATTCTGAAGTACCAATTAGAAGTGACTGTCCTCGTAAGTACCCGAGTGAGTACCTATAACGACTGCAGAAAACTTATTCAGTTTCATTTTTGATCAAACTACTGATAAAAAAGTGAAATACAAAATCTAGAACACATCATTATGAGTATCCAGTGTTCAATCAATTGCTAAATACAAAATCGAAAGCGTAATGTTTCCGATTATCATCACAGATTTAGCAAGCAATCGGAAACGGGTATATTGAAAGGAGTGAAATAATCCGACGAATAATCGATATAATTATCATTTTCTCTAATGATGAAATATCCTCGGAAGTATCAATGTTCATTGATTTCTTCCAGAAACGTTCCATATAAATACAGTGTATTCATGTCCTCCACTGAAATCCTACTTGATCTGAATTCCAACACAAAATTAGAAAAAAAAATTTAAAGTTGATTCGAAATGTTTCCCATAGAGAGCTATAGCTTTTCATGGAGATTTTAAAAATCACATGATATACTCATAGCGTGTTTCATTTGAAAAATATCGGGAAAAACTGTCGCAGACGTTATCACCTAAACGTGGATCACCCTGTAAAACAATTTTTTCATCTCAATGTTGAGAACTTTGTATAAAAATCGACCTCTTCGAGGAGATTCCTCCGATACTTCGGCTGAAAATACCGAGGAAAATACATTTGTTCAGTACCTACTTTTCGAAAGAATCGAGGAAAGAACTGTATATTATATACGAGTGAATATTATACCCTCTTTCTGAAATGCATAAACCGTCCTCAATCACCGAAATCAAATTTCAATGCTTGGCCTAGACAATTGCCATAAGTGTATTATTTGTGAACCTACCAATGCAATCAAATAGTTAGGTATGAGGAAACGTGATAACTTGATTTCTTACCTATTGAAATGCATCCGCTACGCCCACAAAGGATGCGGTAACGTCCTGCTATCCCTTGGCAAACTAGACGAATGATGGTGCAGGAACGGGGGCAACTTTCCTGGGGGTGGGGGTGGCGGCAATGGCGGACTCCTGGCTCTATCGAGATGCGAAGGAGTCGCAGTGGCATAAATATTCACAGAAGACCTCTGGTGTACACAGGAACGTCTCACGTCTGGCATAGCGAACTGCAGTTTCTGCCAGAACTGACGATCGCCCCATTCGATAACGGTGTTGGTTTTCAGGTACAATCGCAGATCAGGATCTAAGTCCCTTTGCGGCAAATCACCAGTTACTATGAATATCAGTCTTCTTCTTCTGTCCTTGAGAACTTCGTGTAACGCACTCTTGAACTCAAACCTACACCACTCGTTATGCAAAAAGTTTCTAGAAAGTACTATAATTGTCCGCCGCGATGACTCAACCGCTTCAATTATCGTATCGGCCACATACGCTGATACATTGAAGTCTCTGTAGTGTAAACAAAGCCTGTAACCTGGATCTCCAGACTCAAGTCCAGGCGCTAAAATTTGGCTAACGAATGCCTCGTCTTTAACACTATAACTAACATATGCATCGAACAATCTGTCTTTGTCTTGCTGTTCTTCAAAAGCTGTAGTTTTATAACACATTCTCAGTCCGCATCGAGAATATATCCACACTCTGAGTTCTCTTCGATAATAAAAAGCCCCACAAACTATCACTACACTAGCGATGAAGACACAGAGTGTTACCAAGAGTAGAGGTAGATAATCATTCATCACTTGGCTCTCCACTATAGCTCTATTTCTGTCAGCGTTTACATCAACGCAAGAAGAATTATCTAGATCGTTCATGAAAGGACCCAAAGCCTTTGTCACATTGTTATACATACATGTTATTTTATTGGAATCAACCACCTTCTCATGATTCACTCTGAGCCATAACTTGAATTTCGCCACATACTCACAATCGCAAGACCATTGATTATTGGATAAGCCAATTTCAACTAGGTATGGATTCGAAATAAATTGCCAAACCTCGAAGGAGTATAATCGATTACCATCTAACCGTAAAACTTCCAGTTGCTTGAGCTCCACGAAAGTCCTATTGTCAATGAATTGTATTACGTTATCCTGTAGATAAAGTTCTTTCAGATATTCCAGTACAGAAAACTCGAATCCTAGCAACTCCCTCAAGTGATTCGTTTCTAAATGTAATATTGCGAGTCTTTTCAAACCAGTGAATGTGTGATTATAAATAGCTGCTATATTGGAATTATTAGCAAAGAGCACTTTCAAATTTTTTCTACCTATGAATGCATGACTAGACAATTCGCCAAAGTTATTTCCATCAAGATAAACTTCAGTTGCATCCATAGGAATTCTATTCGGCATTTCACTATAGCCCACTGCTGAGCACTCCACAACATTGGCAGACCATAACTGATCGTGGTAACAGGTACAATTTGCAGGACAAGTCATCTCACAGTCACATGCATCGAATTCACAGCAGTGACATAACGCAAAGCAGTGCGTCTTATACGTGCAAAGAAATTGCGATGAATCAGCTTCTATCAATGGCAGGTAGTTAGTCTCTCGGTTGTATAATAACTTACAGTATATGCTGTCTAAATCCATAACACGTGGGTGTTGCCTCAGGTGGTCTAGTTTGTTTATACGCTGTAACCACTCCATACTGCAATCACACTGAAACGGATTACCACCTATATAGAATTCTGGTAGTGGTCTATCTGGATCTACTGGTGTGAGTCTGAGTGCGTTTAAATTCATGCTAGTTATCTGATTTGCATATAGATCTACTCTTGTAAGATTCCTTTTCTTTAGGAATGTATGAGGTTCAACCAAAGTTAATAAGTTGTCATTGAGAAATAATAGTTCTATATTGCTTGGCACAGAAGAAGCTCCTATTTTAGATAATTTATTGAAACTAGCATCCAATGTTTGGAGATGTAACTCGAAGTCCAAGTTATAGTGGTTTCCCAATTCTTGAACGTTGTTACTATGCATATCTAACCATTGTAAACCACGTGGAATTAAAGCATAATCAAACCACTCGATATGATTTTCTGATACATTCAGCCATAGCAGGCTAGAAACGTCCGCAAATAACCCATTGACATCAGTCATTTCATTGTCATCCAATCTGATTGCCTGTAAGTTGGGGCTGTAAGAAAAAGCTCCTTGTTCAACTCTCTGGATTTTATTCCTGGCAAGATTGAGTATTTGTAGAGCTGGTAAATCCGCAAATACCCGTTTAGTGATGTTCTGGAGCTTGTTCCCAATAAGTCTCAACCCATAAAGGTTGCTCATTCCTCTAAACCCAGGATCTTCGAGAGAACTGATAAGATTCTCACCCAAATCTACAGTTCTCATCAGTCGCATATCTTTCAGCGCCAAAGGAACTGCTTTCAGTAAATTCCCGTTTAAATTCAAGTCTTGCAAGCTCGAGCAATTCCTGAATGCTTCGGGATGAATTCCTTCTAGCAGATTATTATCTAGTGCCAATAACGACAGAACGTATAGCCCGTTTAGAGAATAGGCGTCGAGATACGTGATTTTATTGAAGGAAATAATCAGCGTATGCAGGTTATTCATTGGAGCGAACGTATCAGCAGGAATAGTTTCGAGAGAATTATGCTCAAGATTCAGAATTTGGAGTGTATATAAATCTCTGAAAAAAGAAGGATCCAATTTGGTGATTCGATTGTACGATAAATTCAGGAGCACTAATCTTATAAGACCAGAGAATGTGTCCGCATTGATCCATGCACTGTTCAGTAGATTTCTCGATAAATCTAGAGCAAGGAGTTGTTCTAGATTTGCAAATAGTCCAGGTGCCAGAACACTTATTGAGTTGTTTTGTAGATATATTTCTTTAATCGAGCCAACACTATCTTTGAATAGTTCTGACGGAAGGGCCACAACTTTGTTATTTGACATGTCAAATATTTGTAAAGACTTCAAACCTGAGAGTGCTTTATCAGCTACCATAGAAATTTCATTATTATGAATATAGAGTTCTCGTAATCTTCGTAAAATACTGAATCCATGTGCTGGTATCAACACGAAATGATTGAAAGAAGTGTCAAGTACCTGAATGTCCAAGCTACAAGGACTAGCAAGGGTTGTTTCTGTGTGTGGATGATGATCTAATTCAGAAACACTTATCAGTGGTTGCGGTAATCCAGGAGCTTTTTCTCGAAATCCCAAATCACTCACGTCCTGTAGACGATTTTCACTCACGTTGAGTGCTATCAAATTAATCAAAGGACAGAATAGACTCTCAGGAAACGACCAGATATTATTACAGCTCAAATCCAGACGATCTAATTGCCTCACTGGCAGGAAACTATCCCTGGAAAATTCCAGATTCATTGCAGGCCAAACTGTATTGTGGGTTCTCACAGAGAGATTTCTCAAGTCACGTAGTCCTAGTAATGTTCCCGCTGGCCATCTACCCAATTTGCAGTTCTCGAGCTCCAACTCCCTAAGTTTCGTTAGATGTACGAAACTCTTGTCGTTCAAACTGCTCCTAGACATAATATCTGGATTGCATTCTATGCGCAAAGAAGTTGTATGCTCTGACGGTATCACACTGAAGTTTGTGGTGTCGAACTCACTGTTGATAGTTCTCAAATTGCAAGTGAGAGCTACCTCATCTTGCCCTCCTGAAACTGTAGGTTCTCGTATCCACCACTGGCAATCATCAGGAGCTTCGTATCTAAGAGGTTGAGATGAAGGGTCAGTAGGAGGAAAGTCAGTCCCAACTGTCGACAAAATTAAAAGTGGAGCCAGGAAGAAGAACTTGAGATCCATGATTTTGTTTTGAAGTGTCACATGAACATGATAGTTCGACTGTAATCTAGTTGATATTCCTATCAGGATATCTGCATATAAAATCCAGTTTCACTTAGGTTTGCAAGGCTAACACAGTTATAGTCGGGCAACAAATTCACAATGTCATTTTGGACGGAATTTCAAAGTCCGAAAATTGTTATCGTATTTTCACAAACTTTTGTTAAATATTTCCACTTTCATAAATTCTAACTGTCGTTGAGTCTCATCAAACTGTGATCTCGTAAATGTTTATGAAAAAAACGTAATTATCGAACTGTTCCGGTATAGCGCGTAATAATCGACCGTTAACGCTGAGGAGCGAAACCTGACTGTTCAGGATGCTGGCGGCATGAACATGGAACGTCCTTCCAATCCATGAGCGACAAGCTTATGACTCCACGAGCTTTTGGCGTTACGAGAGCACCCGATCTCTGCCGAAGAGGAACGATCGAGGGTCTGTGCGCCCCGCCTTATAGATATACTGTTCGGAAAGCACCACTCTTGTAAGAAATTCCCTAGTCCTTCGGGTCTCGAATGAATGCACCCGTTGGAAAAAATCGGTAGCGGTTATTCAAGATATTGAATATGTTAAATCTAGCGGACAATTGGGTGTGCTCGATACAAATGCTGTGTATAAAAATGTGGAATCCAATTATTTTAGGGAGAAGGGCAATTTTGGAATTGGATTGCAAAGGAGCATCCGAGGCTCGCTTTGTGACGGAGGATTATGATTATACGGTCGAAACGAATCACTGGAACGTTTTCTCTAAAACCAATCTGTTGCGTGATACTTCAACGAGCAGCGGGCGTCCAACTAATATCTAAAATATAAGGCGGCTGGTTGCTAATGTTTCTTATTCGTTTTATGGCGAAAGGAAGAACGGGTAGTGTATTTACTTTGTTTTTATTTATACTGCCTAGTTAACGACTTCACTGATTGAAGTCAGATATTGAGATAACAATAATTTGGTCTGAGTATACTCCGTTTATAACAGTTTGTTGCAGTGCATAGAAATATTCGGCATATTTTTCACGAATATACTCATACCAATAATAACTTGAACAACATATTGAAAATACACACTGATCAGAATAAAGGATAATCATTGTAACATGAAACATATATTATTTATTTGGGTACCAATATTCCATCCCTTACAAAGAATTGAAGCTATAATTCGAAGGATACAATTATTATTGCATGGACCGAGGACCGAGTATATGTACTAAACTAAAAGATTCTCAACAAAAGCTCAATGATATCTTCATGATGTGTGTTCTCAAATATCTCGCTATGTACAGAGTTGAATATATCATCAATACATGGACGAAAATCTAAATTCCGATTCAAGTAGATTACAGAATAAATGCAGTTTTCATTTTTCCATATTCGTGAAAGAACATGAAAAATGTGAGGTGATCCACATTTGAGTTATGGCGTCCACGATAATTTTTTCGAAATGAAATAATCACTCTATATATTTTTCAATCTTCGGAATCTCCATCATGGAAAGCTGAATTATTGAATTTAATATTAATTAAGAATAATTCAACATATAATAATCACCGTATATATAAAGCTATTATACAGATATCTTGATGGAATCTTGAATTCTGAAATTCACTGTATAGTTTGTTTTGTATACAGTGTGTCGGTGGAATTAGGTTCACTAGTCAAGTATAGTGGATCAATTTGGAGAGTTGTTGATTTTTGGAATGAATGCGTGTAGATGAAAAAACGTCAACAGTATTCATTTAATGGCAACCCTATTTCAGGAGAGCACAATATTTAAGGGGAGCAATGTATATTGTTCTAAAAAACAATCATGAGAAATATATTCTAGAATTCAGCTATCCATGCACCGAAAGAAAAATCTCAGTAATAATTATCAAATATTTGTTAACGTCAAATTTGTTCATAATCAATTAGCCATATTCATAATTAAAAAGTCTTATTCATCAAAATCGTACCTGTTTCTAAGCATTATTTATTACCAATAAATGATTTATTACTGTCACATTTGTTCATTGTGAACAGCATCATTTGATAATTAACAATTCATCTAGTACGCCGATATGTGTTTATTGATTATGATGATTATTATAAATATACGTAATATAAAGGATAACAATGGATATTTCATTTTATTCTTCGTTTGGTAATAATTAAAGAACTGTCATGCGCATGGGCCATCATTTTAGTTAAGCTTCCATCTTTTATCGCGTGAGCATCTTCTTGATATCGTTGCTGATTTTCATTTGATTTCGACCAACGCGAAAGTTATGAAGCGTGATGGTTATATTAGTTCAATCCCTTATATGACAGTGCGGGTTTGTTTACATTTGGACATATGTATTTACGTCTACAATCAGCTTCTTGGGATAATTTCATGTAGGTACAACATCACATATGGAAAAAATGGCGGACGACTATCAGTGCATCATCAGTATACAACATTTAGTATGTTCTCAGAAAAACAGTGGTACATGTGGAGCTAATCAATCAATATTGAAACATTTTGAACGTAAGTAGGTGCGAATGCCTATATGTATAGTATGCATGAGTATTTAGATTAGATTGATATGGGGCTCATGTGCTACTAGGAGCCTCTCCACTGCGACCTTTACAGATCTATTGTGTGTGCCCTCATGTTATGTTAGAGTTCCTTGTCTAAACCCATCCTTATTACTAGACTCCATAGGCCAGACCTCAGGTCCTCCATATATTGAGAGGGCTGTGGTTTTTCCTCCCCTATCGTCGAAAACCTTAGCCTAGTCAGGCCTTCGCAGTAGCACAGTATGTGTGCTGAGGTTTCCTCATCTTCTTGGCAAAACCTGCATATGGTTGTGTCCGCCAATCCGATGTTGTTCATGTGTTTGTTGAGTCTACAGTGCCCTGTCAGGAGCCCAACCAAGATCCTTGTTGTTCTCATATTCTGGCTTAGTAGGTACTCCGTGAATTTTGGCAATGGTTCTTTAATGAACTCTTTGGCCTGTCTCATTCCCGGCGCCTTGTTCCACCATTCTCGAGACTGCTTCTTCATCCAAGTGCTGTTATTTGTTTTTTGCAGCGCTTTCGCTATACCACAGAAAGGTTCTGGACCGATAGGAGCACATCTTGCTCCTTCTCGGGCTAGTGAGTCAGCCTCTTCGTTGCCCTTGTAGCCTGTGTGGCTTGGTACCCAGGCTAAGTACAGTCTGTTTTGACTGCCCAGCTCTTGTAGGGTTTCCAAGCAGTCCCAGACGAGTTTGGAATTGATCTGCATGGAGCTGATTGCTTTTATAGCCGCTTGGCTGTCGGAGTAAATGGCGATGGTCTTTTCCTTAAACTCTTGCCTTATTAACTCTCCTGCACACTGATGTATTGCTGCAACTTCTGCCTGGAATATCGTCACGTGTTTACCTAAGCTCAGTGAGACTCTTGTCTTTGGCTTGGCTATATATATTCCTGCTCCTACACCTTCATCGGTTTTTGAGCCGTCTGTATAACAGGCCATTTCTGCATCAATTGGAGGACCTCCCCTCCATGCCTCTCTGTCTGTTGTAACAGTTTTAAATTGTTTACCGAAGCTATACTTGGGAAGCATCTCGTCCGATGGCATTCCCATTATCGGGTCGGCTTCCAACTCTTTGTATAGTTCGTTGTACATTTTACCGTGCAGTCTGCTTATGGGCGTTTGCCCTCTGGTCAATCTATTGGTGACTGACCTGGCTTCGCCTTGTATGTAGACGTGAAGTGGCGGTAGGTTCAGCAAGACTTCTAAGGCGGCTGTTGGGGTTGTCCTCATGCATGAGTATTTTCTGATATCATTCGTTTTACATGAATTTGAAAGGGAGTACTATATTATTATGTACATTGAAACGTGGGTATGCCATCATAGCTGAGGGCTGATGAGTTATAAGGTAATAGGTTCATACGCAACCATCTGCCCTGATCGAATAGTTTGATTATATACTTAGATAAATAATATTCGTTAACTGTTACTGAATTTGTTATTGATATAAGGCTTAAAAACATTCCCTCAGGGTGATCCACGACTGGTGGTAATACATCAGGAAATTTAATAAAACAATAATTAGCAATATTTCTGAAATGAAGACATTGAATTATGTATAATGTTTATTTATTATCAATAAAATGTTTCTTCTCATGCTGTACCTACTGATAAATGAATATTTGGTTACTAAAAACAAAGATTTTGAAATAATGAATATCGTTTGGTGTGGGTGAAGAAATATATATTCTCAGATAATAAAGGACTATTATCATGAAATAATCATAAATTAACCATGCACGAGGCTTATTCATGGGGGTGTGAACAAATAATTTGTTTTTCTCAAACAAACGTTCAATAAGCCATATTTCAATAACGGATTTGGTAACAGTTAATCATATTTATTTATTATAACCAAACCGTTCTTTCAGTGTGAAGATATTATTAATTGAATAAATATAGGGTGTTTGATCACTCGAACGTGGGTCACTATTTATATCAATTTTTCCTCATAGATGTTTGGTGAATTCAGAATGGAAATCGACGTTTCTCAGCAGATTCCTCAGGAATGTATAGTTTGGCCAAGAATATATTCAAGCAGTCCAAGTTAATGGTTGGATGCAGTCCGATGTGTTTGCGAAATATTTCGAACGGGTATTCTTAAAGCACATTGGTAGTGAGAGACCCACATTACTGATATTCGACGGCCATAGTACTCATCTCAGTCTCAATGTCCTAGAAATGGCAAAAAAACAACAAGTTGAAATAATCAAGTTGCCACCCCATTCTAGCCACCTCCTTCAACCGTTAGACCTTTCGGTTTTCAAACCGTTGAAAACATATTGGGATCAAGCTCTAGTGAAGTGGCAGAGACAACATATTGGGAAAAAGCTCCCAAAAAGTGAATTTTCCAAGATAGTAGGGAAATTATGACTCGAAACCAAAATTGAAACCATTCGTAATGGATTCAAGAATGGAAGAATCTATCCATTCAACGATAAAATTATCCAAAATGAAAAATATGATCCCATTTTACTACAGAAATGGCAATCACTGAATTTGCCAGAACATGCTGACAATGGATCAAATCAGCAAGTTCAGACGCTTCCAGATCCCACTACAAGCATTAGCGTTAGCTCTGCTAGTGCTCAGGTACTCCCAGTCAGATGTTCATCAGGCACGTTCAGAGCCTATACTGTAGGACCAACTCAGAAAAAGTTCGTTTTGAAGAGCTACTCATATCCACAATCAAACAAAGTCAATCTGAAGCACCTGAGAAGAAAAGGAAAGTGGCCACTGGTGCAGAAGTCGTGACAGGGAAAGAAGTTTTACAGCGCATGAAAGAAGAGGAAATGGCTAAATCTACAGTGA